GGATTCTCCTCTTGTATGTTGGTCAAGAATCGGTATGATGCCCTTGTGTCGAGCATATGCCGCAGACCTTGACTTCTTGGGTTTATGGATTCAAAAGAAAATCTTTAACCAAAGAAATCAAGCCGGGGCCACTTGACTTTCCAACGAGTTGTTGGATTCCGCCGCCATAACTCGTTTTGATTATGACCTCCCATTGTAATGTCTCGAGTTTTCAGCCAACTCCGAAATGAGGTCTCTTGCTTGAGAAGGAGTTTTGTTGACAATACCCCTCCGCATGCCGCATTCACCATGCGTCTATCTTGATCAACAAGCCCATCATAGAAGTAGAGGATGAGATCTTGTTCCGAATACCCATGATATGGGCAACTAGCGCATAATTTTTTAAAACGCTCCCAATATTCGTACAAAGTCTCATCATCCGCTTGCTCAATGTTGTTAATTTGCTTCTTGAGACTTGAAGAGATAGATGCGGGATAATACCTGTCAAGGAAGCTCTTTTTCATTTGAGCCCATGTAGTGATACTCCCCGAAGGGAGATAGAATAGCCAATCTTTGGCGGTGTCTTTTAGAGAAAATGGGAAAGCTCTAAGCTTGATTTGCTCCTCGGACACACCATTGGGGCACATGTTTGTACACACAAAATTGAACTCTGACAAGTGTTTGGTCGGATCTTCCCCTCGTTGACCATGGAAAGAGGGAAGTAGATGAATGAGCCCAGATTTTAGCTCGAATGTGACCCCCGTATCAAGAGTTGGAAAAGTGATACATAGGGGTTGTTGATTAAGATTTGGAGCCGTGAGCTCCCTCAATGTTCTTGTTTCGTGAGCCATAGATATTGGCTCTTTGGTGTCGCTAGAATGAGAACTAGCACTCGATGATTCTCCCGAGTCGGAGCTTGAGAATTTATTTTTTAACCGCTCGAGAGTTTGTTCTATTTCGGGGTTTGATTTGTAGGTGATTTCGTTCAGTAAACGATATTTAACCATATAATACAAAGCTCAGAAGAAATAAAAATCTTTATACTTGAATAATATTTTTTTTTCTTTTTTTAAAATAACATAAAAAGAAAAATTAATTGCCTTTCCCCGGCAACGGCGCCAAATTTGACAGGCACTTTGTCAAGGTGCGTCAAAATAAATTTGATACTAACAACTATACATAGTATATGTGAAGTAGAGTTCGTATCCACAGGGAAAAGAATAATTATCTTTTTAAATGAAACAAGTGAATAAAAAGGGGGTTTTGATTGAGTGATTTAATTTAATCAAACACGAAGATGAACGACTTATATGAGATTTAATTCAAGAATATAATAAAAGGGACTTAGCCTTGCTACTTCTACTTGTTGATATATTTTAGTCGATCATTGTTATATGTATAACTTATCCCCTCTCGAATACTCAATCGAGGAGTATCTCCAATTCATCGAGGGTAGTTATTAACAACGACCGTTCATTAATAACTCTTACTATTAATCAAATATAGAACAACGCCGTATATCGATATAATAGTAGCATTTAATATCTTTAACTCCTTGATTAAATCAATTGAGATTGATAACCTTAACAAATTCGCTTTTGCGATTACTTTTCCCTTCACAAATACGTCTTTTTTGTAGTGATTGTTCATTCTTCTAAAAACTCAATTCATCGGTAACTCATTCTTCTTCAACCTTCTCATCTTCAAGAACACTGATTCAGAGTTTTGTTTTGTAATAACTCCGGATATAATATTTACTTTTCTTGTGTGATACAGAAGGTAAATTGAATATACTACGGAGTATATCGATGGGTTCACGCAAATTATACCGTGCGACCGGCGCACCATGAGGATGGTGTGCCCGGTCGCAAAACGGCACAGTTTCACCATCGTTCCCCCTCCCCAACAGCACTCTCCACCGTCATTTGGCCGCCCCAAACCTTCACAGACCCCAGACCTTGCCCATCCGCCTGCAGAATTGTTGCCCAGTTTCGAAGATCGAAGGTTGGAGGAAATAGCTCTAGACAATTCAAAACCTTAGCACCTCAATAATGGAGCAGCTGCATAATCGGCTGTCCATGCTTGTTCCTCATGAGGAATATTGGAGTTGATTATTCATATATATATATATATATATATATATATATATATATATATATATATATATATATATGGGTGAGATCACATACAAACTAGTCTTCTCATGCTCACCTACAAACTATCACAAACTGTGCATCTTTACATTATTTGTACTGCATATTGAAGTTCAAAGTGTTGCATATTATTTGTACTGCATATTAAAGTTCAAAGTGTTGCATATTATTTGTAATGCATATTGAAATTCACAGTGTGCATCTTTACATTATTTTTACTGCATATTGAAGTTCAAAGTGTTGCATATTATTGAGTTTGTAGGTTAGTATTTTAAGTATGGTTTGTATTTGATCTCTTACCTATATATATATATATATAGATTTTGGTTCAAATGAGAACATTCCTTAATGTGAGATGTGAGAACAAATCCTCACCCTCCAAAATATATGCCGATCTGCGATGGAGTAAACGACACTAGAGGGTATTTACGTATTACCATTTCCTTGTTGGCAGTTTAAATAACGGATCTTACACTTAATGCGTTCCACATGTTTAGGGATGGAAATGATACAAGGCATATCATATTAATTTTTTAATTTTATTTCTTACGAACCCGTTTCTCACTTTTTCCATTTAAGGAAATAAAATATCACAATTATATTTAGACTGCCCGATCGAGTTCAAGTAAATTGGAGTAAAATAAAGAATAAACCATATATATGACAATCTTCATATTTGGGGCACATCAACCATGCATCAAGCTTAAAAACAATTGAACCAGAAGAGACACGTGTTCCTCCTCTGCACAATTATGCAGCATGCATGTCCACACGTATGACTGTATGAGAAATATACGATAGTATATTGTAATGTAACACACGGATATATATTGAAATGTTTCTTAATAAATGGTCAATTTAAACTCTACTAAGTACGATTCCATTATTCATTCAATTATCCCTCTCCTTAATTGTTAATTATCGTATCATAGTTATATTTTTCAAAACATATTTTTTCGACTTTTGTGTTATATACGAAATGTGAGTTAGATACAAGTTCAAGTGCATTACATAAATTGGTTGTGTGTTTGAGACCGGTTCATGTGCATTACGTATTCGGGCTTGTATGTTGGATACTAGTTTTTGTACGTGACATACTTGTTGTGATTCTCTATGTCCATACTATGTGCTAGATACTAGTTCTCTAAAGTGTATACATGTTGTGCTTTATATACTAGTTCATGTGTACTATATAAAATTCTTGTGCGTTAGATATCTATCCTTAATTATTGTGCCTTAAATACTGATTTTTGTGTATTAGATATTTGTTATGATGCTTTATATACAAATATTATGCGAGATACTACTTTTTTTGTGCACTAAATATTGGTGGTTGTGTGTTAAACATACGTTCTTGTGTGTCGGTGTGTGCGGTAGCTGGAGATGATTGGTGTGGTTTATTCTATACGTTCTTTTTAAAATAAAAAATGCATATGCAATATTGGTGTCATATGAAAGATAATTTTTTTTTAATTTGATATAATTTTTTATGAAATTGGATTATAATATAAAAAGTAATATCAAATTAAGCTAAAACCATTTTATATGATTTAATTTTTAATTTCAACCCACTTTTTCGGAAGTGGCCTCCCACCGTTGCATTCAACAGAATTGAACACGGAATATTCTCGGAAAATTACCATTATGCCCTGCATTATTTCTACACCTCTAATTCCGTTTCTAATAGGCCGTTTAGGATGTGCGAAAGTGCGTCATTGTATTTATGCACCAATTACGTAACAACCGATCATTTAATAAGATAAGTGGTTATGATTTGTTCTCACTTCTCACGATAAGAGGTGTTCTCATTATAACCACACCCTATATATATATATATATATATATATATATATATATATATATATATATATATAGGGGTGAGATCACATACAAACTAGTCTTCCCATACTAACCTACAAACTATCACAAACTGTGCATCTTTACATTATTTGTACTGCATATTGATGTTCAGAGTGTTGCATATTATTTGTGCTGCGTATTAAAGTTCAAAGTGTTGCATATTATTTGTAATGCATATTGAAATTCACAGTGTGCATCTTTACATTATTTGTACTGCATATTGAAGTTCAAAGTGTTGCATATTATTGAGTTTGTAGGTTAGTATTTTAAGCATGGTTTGTATTTGATCTCTTACGTATATGTATATATATATATATATATATATATATATATATATATATATATATATATATATATATAGTTACATCTCTGTGAAAAACGTTTTACATTTCAATGGTCTAAAGTTACATATCCCAAGTTACATCTAATTTGTTTTCAAGTTACATTTCAATTGATACAGTTTACATTTCAACGAGTTACATGCGAATGAATGTAATTTACATTTTGGTTAACTTGAAGTTACATGTAGGATAACACGATTTACATCTCATATAGCAATGGGTGCATGGTGCTCACCATGCACCGGTTGCACGGTATAGGCACTGATGGGTTCATATTATTATGTCCGAAATCACAGATACCACGAACTATAACTTTATGGGATAACAAATGCAAAGTAATAAGTTTAAACCATACCAGCTCAAGTAGCTCAACTCACGCAATTATAACTTTATCTGATAACGTGTTCGATCTGCTCAAATGTAAAGTAATAAATGTCAACTAGCATGAAAGTGGAACGACATAGCTCAATTGCAAACTGTCTGTCACTCGATTCAAAGAGGTTAAATATGTCACAAAAGGCACGTATAGTAGACTAGTAGTATAGGGCTAAAAGCAAAAAAAGAAAAAGAAAAAAGTAGTAGTATGGGGCAAATTACTGAGTAAGTTGAACGTACTCCTTAATACTGTAATAGTTAATGGGAAGCGAGCCACATGGTGGTGGTAGTTACGAACACACATATATACGCATAGAGGCACCATGAACAGGCCATGCATTCAAGGCTTATAACCAAAGAGTAAAAAAAAGAGAGAGCAGAGTGAAGCTGAAAGAATTGCAATTTGCAAGGCCCAGAGGAAAAAGAGGAGACTTTGGTCAATTTCAGGTTGGTGTTCATTCTTTTTGTTATATTTTATGGTTATATGTATTATATAGTTCTACTTATTAACATTATCATCATCATATATTCTTAAATGCCAGAGCATTGCTTACTTACGTACACTGTCTTTTATGTTTTCATAGACATATTGATGTACTGTATTAACTTTCTTATATGAATATATGATTAGAGGGATTTACAGCATTGCAGTGATCCAATGGCATACAGTAAGCTAGCTACAGTTGTCTTCCACCTCACAGTGGTAATCACACTCTTTGCCGCGGAGGCAGCCCATCCGCCACAGTTCTCATGCAATGAGCGAAATCTACTAACCAAAAGATTTGGCTTTTGCCAGACTAACATCTCCATCCATGACCGACTGACCGAGCAAAGGACCTCGTCTCAAGGCTCACCTTAGATGAGAAAATATCTCAGCTTGTTCACAATGCACCAGCCATTACCCGCCTGGATATCCCGGCCTTCAACTGGTGGTCGGAGGCTCTACACGGCCTAGCAAAGGGCCTTTTAGTCAACGGTACCATCACCTCTGCCACCAATTTCCCTCAGGTCATTCTTACGGCTGCATCTTCTGATGAAACATTATGGTATCGCATAGGACAGGTAATGATTTATATGCATGTCACCAATAAGTACTTGTGACATCTAATGATTTATACATGGCTTGCTGATTTTTTTGTTTGTTTGTGAGAAGGTGATTGGAAGGGAGGCTAGGGGTATGTACAATGAAGGTCAAGCAACCGGCATGACATTTTGGGCTCCTAACATAAATATTTTTAGGGACCCAAGATGGGGGAGAGGGCAGGAGACCCCGGGGGAAGACCCTACAGTTGCTGGAAAATACGCTGTGTCATTTGTGAGAGGGATGCAAGGTGACAGAAGCAATCATCTTCAAGTTTCTGCTTGCTGTAAGCATTTTACTGCATATGACTTAGAGAACTGGAATGGAACTGACCACTACAACTTCAATGCTATTGTAAGTAAACATATTTACTTTACAGACTACAGTGTTTAAATGTTTAGCAGAAATGAAAGGATTCTTCTTTTCTTTTTCTTAATGTGACTTGCATGGCATGTTTGCTTTAAATAAATGAACTTTTTTCATTCATAATAAAAATTAGATCTCCCAATCTCATTACAGATAATGCATGTAGGATTTTACTTTAATTTGTTGGATTTGCATTTCCTTTCAGGGCGTTTGGATTTGCAATGTCTAGCTTTAATGCATGTAGTATTATATATCATTTTAATACATTTATATGAGGTAAGAAGATTTCATTTGTGTAAAATTGAGAGCCTTTTTTCTGTTGACATGTGTAGGTGACCAAGCAAGACATGGTTGATACCTTTCAGCCACCATTCAAAGCTAGTAGTGTTATGTGTGCGTATAACAGTGTTAATGGCATTCGGAACTGTGCAAATAAGGAGCTTTTAACCAAAACTCTTAGGCTGGAATGGGGGTTTAGGGGGTAATTTCTTTCCTTCATTTCTTTCAAAAGCTTGTGCATATTTTTTTTAATTTGAAAATGTTCATATCATATTTCCATGCCTTAGGTACATTGCCTTGGATTGTAATGCGGTGCATCGAATCTTCTATGCACACAACTACACGAAGTCACCCGAGGAAGCAGCTGCAGATGCACTCAAAGCTGGTATTAATGATCTCCCTCTCCCTCTTATTACTTTAAAGAATTTTGAATGCAGTAAAATTGAAACTCAAGTTAATTCAAACAATCAAACTACTGGGTCTATACAAAGTATGAATATTTATTTCAATGAATTTTTATGTAAAGCAAAATTTAGTGGGGTTTGATCATTCTCCACTAATTAATAATAACAGTTAACAGTACGTGACTTGAGTATCTAAAAATGCCAATACACAGGTATGGACCTGGAGTGCGGTTCCCTCCTATTAAATTACACAAAACCGGCACTCGTTAAGAAATACTTGAAAATGTCCGTACTCGACATAGCCCTTCACAATCTTTTCGATACCAGGATGAGATTGGGCTTATTTAACAGAAACCCCAAGAACATGATTTATGGAAGATATGGTTCTAAAGATGTTGGTAGTGGAGAACATCAGAACCTATCTTTTGAGGCAGCGAGAAAAGGAATAGTTTTGCTTAAGAACTCAGGCAAGCTACTCCCTCTGTCAAAGACCAAAGTTAGATATCATGGGGTGATAGGGCCGGGTGTGGATAATTCAGAGATCCTCCTAGGGAACTATCATGGCGTACCATGTCGGGGAGACACAATTTTGCAGGCATTGCAATCCTATGTCAAGGAGACTAAGTTTCAAATGGGCTGTAATAACACTAACTGCACATATGTGATGGCTAGAGATGCATTGGAGCTAGTCATGGAATCTGATCAAATCATTCGTGTAATTGGTCTTGATCAAGGTCAGGAAAGTGAATGCTTGGATCGGCATGACTTGATGCTTCCGGGGCACCAACGAGCTTGATAGAACAAGTGAGCTTGGCCGCAAAGAGCCCTGTGATACTTGTATTTTTGTCGGGAAGCCCTATGGATGTTACTTTTGCCAAACACAACCCTAAAATTGGTAGTGTCTTGTGGGCTGGGTATCCAGGGGAAGCTGGAGGGATTGCATTGTCTGAGATCATATTTGGTGACTATAACCTCGGTAAGATAGAGTATAAACAAAACTTTGTTTTTATTTATTAAACTTAAATTTTTATATGCTATTGATTCGTTTTCTGCTATCTTTCAAAGGGGGCAGATTGCCAATGACATGCTATCTTTCATGTGTAGTAATAGCAAATATGAAAGATAGCATGTCATTGGCAATCTGCCCCCTTTGAAAGATAGCAGAAAACAAATCAATAGCATATAAAAATTTAAGTTTAATAAATGAAAACAAAGTTTTGTTTATACTCTATCGTAACGGGGTTATAGTCACCAAATATGATCTCAGACAATGCAATCCCTCCAGCTTCCCCTGGATACCCAGCCCACAAGACACTACCAATTTTAGGGTTGTATTTGGCAAAAGTAACATCCATAGGGCTTCCCGACAACAATACAAGTATCACAAGGCTCTTTGCGGCCGAGCTCACTTGTTCTATCAAGCTCGTTGGTGCCCCGGAAGCATCAAGTCATGCCGATCCAAGCATTCACTTTCCTGACCTTGATCAAGACCAATTACAAGAATGATTTGATCAGATTCCATGACTAGCTCCAATGCATCTCTAGCCATCACATATGTGCAGTTAGTGTTATTACAGCCCATTTGAAACTTAGTCTCCTTGACATAGGATTGCAATGCCTGCAAAATTGTGTCTCCCCGACATGGTACGCCATGATAGTTCCCTAGGAGGATCTCTGAATTATCCACACCCGGCCCTATCACCCCATGATATCTAACTTTGGTCTTTGACAGAGGGAGTAGCATGCCTGAGTTCTTAAGCAAAACTATTCCTTTTCTCGCTGCCTCAAAAGATAGGTTCTGATGTTCTCCACTACAAACATCTTTAGAACCATATCTTCCATAAATCATGTTCTTGGGGTTTCCGTTAAATAAGCCCAATCTCATCCTGGTCTCGAAAAGATTGTGAAGGGCTCTGTTGAGTACGGACATTTTCAAGTATTTCTTGACGAGTGCCGGTTTTGTGTAATTTAATAGGAGGGAACCGCACTCCAGGTCCATACCTGTGTATTGGCATTTTTAGATACTCAAGTCACGTACTGTTCACTGTTATTATTAATTAGTGGCGAATGATCAAACCCCACTAAATTTTGCTTTACATAAAAATTCATTGAAATAAATATTCATACTTCGTATAGACCCGGTAGTTTGATTGTTTGAATTAACTTGAGTTTCAACTTACTGCATTCAAAATTCTTTAAAGTAATAAGAGGGAGAGGGAGATCATTAATACCAGCTTTGAGTGTATCTGCAGCTGCTTCCTCGGGTGACTTCGTGTAGTTGTGTGGATAGAAGATTCGATGCACCACATTACAATCCGAGGCAATGTACCTATGGCATGGAAATATGACATGAACATTTTCAAATTAAAAAAAAATATGCACAAGCTTTTGAAAGAAATGAAGGAAAGAAATTACCCCCTAAACCCCCATTCCAGCCTAAGAGTTTTGGTTAAAAGCTCCTTATTTGCACAGTTCGGAATGCCATTAACACTGTTATACACACACATAACACTACTAGCTCGAGCTTTTTGTACGCAAGCTTTGAATGGTGGCTGAAAGGTATCAGCCATGTCTTGCTTGGTCACCTACACATGTCAACAGAAAAAAGGCTCTCAATTTTACACAAATGAAATCTTCTTACCTCATATAAATGTATTAAAATGATATATAATACTACATGCATTAAAGCTAGACATTGCAAATCCAAACGCCATGAAAGGAAATGCAAATCCAACAAATTAAAGTAAAATCCTACATGCATTATCTTTAATGAGATTGGGAGATCTAATTTTTATTATGAATGAAAAAAGTTCATTTATTTAAAGCAAACATGCCATGCAAGTCACATTAAGAAAAAGAAAAGAAGAATCCTTTCATTTCTGCTAAACATTTAAACACTGTAGTCTGTAAAGTAAATATGTTTACTTACAATAGCATTGAAGTTGTAGTGGTCAGTTCCATTCCAGTTCTCTAAGTCATATGCAGTAAAATGCTTACAACAAGCAGAAACTTGAAGATGATTGCTTCTGTCACCTTGCATCCCTCTCACAAATGACACAGCGTATTTTCCAGCAACTGTAGGGTCTTCCCCCGGGGTCTCCTGCCCTCTCCCCCATCTTGGGTCCCTAAAAATATTTATGTTAGGAGCCCAAAATGTCATGCCGGTTGCTTGACCTTCATTGTACATACCCCTAGCCTCCCTTCCAATCACCTTCTCACAAACAAACAAAAAAATCAGCAAGCCATGTATAAATCATTAGATGTCACAAGTACTTAATGGTGACATGCATATAAATCGTTACCTGTCCTATGTGATACCATGATGTTTCATCAAAAGATGCAGCCGTAAGAATGACCTGAGGGAAATTGGTGGCAGAGGTGATGGTACCGTTGACTAAAAGGCCCTTTGCTAGGCCGTGTAGAGCCTCCGACCACCAGTTGAAGGCCGGGATATCCAGGCGGGTAATGGCTGGTGCATTGTGAACAAGCTGAGATATTTTCTCATCTAAGGTGAGCCTTGAGACGAGGTCCTTTGCTCGGTCATGGATGGAGATGTTAGTCTGGCAAAAGCCAAATCTTTTGGTTAGTAGATTTCGCTCATTGCATGAGAACTGTGGCGGATGGGCTGCCTCCGCGGCAAATAGGGTGATTGCCACTGTGAGGTGGAAGACAACTGTAGCTAGCTTACTGTATGCCATTGGATCACTGCAATGCTGTAAATCCCTCTAATCATATATTCATATAAGAAAGTTAATACAGTACATCAATATGTCTATGAAAACATAAAAGACAGTGTAAGTAAGCAATGCTCTGGCATTTAAGAATATATGATGATGATAATGTTAATAAGTAGAACTATATAATACATATAACCATAAAATATAACAAAAAGAATGAACACCAACCTGAAATTGACCAAAGTCTCCTCTTTTTCCTCTGGGCCTTGCAAATTGCAATGCTTTCAGCTTCACTCTGCTCTCTCTTTTTTTTACTCTGGTTATAAGTCTTGAATGCATGGCCTGTTCATGGTGCCTCTATGCGTATATATGTGTGTTTGTAACTACCACCACCATGTGGCTCGCTTTCCATTAACTATTACAGTATTAAGGAGTACGTTCAACTTATTTAGTAATTTGCCCCATACTACTTTTTTTTTTGCTCTTAGCCCTATACTACTAGTCTACTATACGTGCCTTTTGTGACATATTTAGAGCCCGTTTGGAGAACTCTGTTTTCGGCTTATCAGGCTTATCAGCCAGCTTTTTCACCAAACACGTAACTTTTACTTTCGCGCGCTGAATTGTTTAATAAGCCGAAAAAGTAAGGTTGAAGTTACTTTTCTGGCTGTATTGGCTGAAGTTACTGTAGAGGACCATTTTAGCTATTTTTACATATAATTTTTTCTTTAATTTATTAATAAAATAAATTTTTAAAATATTTTTTTCTTAAATCAGCAGAATCAGCCAAAACAGCCACTCCAGCCAGAATATCATAAATTTCAGCAGAATCAGCCAAAACAACCGATTTTGGTGCTACCAAACGGGCTCTTAACCTCTTTGAATTGAGCTATGTCGTTCCACTTTCATGCTAGTTGACATTTATTACTTTATATTTGAACAGATCGATGAGAAAATTACCAAAACACGGGAGTTTCCCGTCTGACATGCCAAAAAACGGGAAAGTGTTTTAGGTTACCAAAACACGTTAGTCGGAATTGGGGAATCCGACTAGAGATTAGGGTTTTTTTTTTCAGCCTTTCACCTGGTCGGAATTGGGAAATCCGACTGGAGTATTTTTTTAATTTTTTTTAAAGCGAAGTGCTTTAAAAGCCGGGAAAACCAAATTAAACACCTAGTCGGATTCCCCAATTCCGACTAGGGTAATATTTTTAATTTTATTTAGAATGTTTAATAATCCAAAAAAAATAAATTAAACACCTAGTCGGATTCCCCAATTCCGACTAGGGTATTATTATTATTTTTATTTAGAATGTTTAATAATCCAAAAAAAATAAATTAAACACCTAGTCGGATTCCCCAATTCCGACTAGGGTATTATTATATATTTTATTAGAATGTTTAATAATAATGTTTAATAATCTGAAAAAACCCAATTAAACACCTAGTCGGATTCCCCAATTCCGACTAGGGTAATATTTTTAATTTTTTTTTGTTTCGAGCGGGTGAGGTATTTAATAGAAGCAACCCAACACTTAGTCGGAATTGGGGAATCCGACTAGGTAGTGTGATATTTTTAATTGTTTTTTTAGTGTTTTGGTGACGTGTTTAATTGCGGTTCTAGTATTGCACCGAACTCCTACACTAATACCCCTATAAAATCAATTCGTTTGTTCTCAAAATTTACAAACACACTCCAAAAACACTTCTTACTTTCGTAAGGGTACCGACCTACCATATTCATCCAAAACACTTGTTACTTTAATTACTTTCATATATTCATTATTTTTTTTGTTTAGCACTCTCCTCTCATATTATATTTATAATATATACCATATATAAAAAATGTCTAGTGAGGGTAATATTGTTGTTATGGTTCATTGGAATGGCTCTACATCTCAAAAAGATGATGAAATAGAGTACTCCATACCTCCTAGGGCGGTACTATGGGTTAGTGAAGGAGATGATTATACTACTATACATGAGAAAGTTCTAAATCATGTTAGAGGCGACGGATTTTCCGAAATTAAATTAATTCACGGAAAATTGCCAAAGTATAAAAATTCAGTATATGTTGCTTCTAGATTATGGCCCATTCACGATGAGCGGACATGGCGTCATTTTTTCCGGATCGCTACAAATGAGTATGAGGAGTTGCACATTTACGTGGAAGCTTCAGCGACCCCGCCACAAAATTTGGCGTTCCACGGAACTCCTGGAGAGGAAGGCCCATCATCAATATATGGTCGGAGGAACAACCGCCAAATGTTTGAGAACTATGAATCTCCCGGTATGTATTGTTCAAGTTAAGTAGAATTTACAATGATTTGATTTTATTTGTCATCATTTTAAGAGTGTAGAACTAGTTAATTTAGTAATTCGTAAATATTAGTTAAATTGGCATAATGAGTATATATCACTGATATTAGTAATATATGTATTAGTTAGTGAATTATATACTTATCCTATCATACAAGTATATATTATCTGTAGTATAATATATTAAATAATACTAATATTATGCATAATTAGGCTAATTAATAACTGTTTAATTTAATATTTTTATAATAATATTATGCGTACCTAATTACTTATATGTGATTTATATATTACTTATATTAATTATATATTTACGATATTGATTTAGACGGAGATAGTATCACGTCGTTAAAAAAGCTATATATAGACCGCTAACTTATAATTTGCCTTAATTAGGTTTTTTAGGAGTGTAGACGTAGTAGATTTAGTAATTTGCAAATTTTTTAATTTAGATTGTTAAATTTGAATTTTAGAGTTAAATTTAGCTATAAAATACTTCAAAGTTAGAAAGAGTGTTAAATTTAGAATTGGCCTTAAATTTTGGTTTTATGAGTGTAGGAGTAGTTAATTTTGTAATTTGTAATTGGTTTCAATTTTGATTTGTGAAATTGGAATTTTAATTTAGTGTATATTATACTTAATATTTCTTTGTAATTCAAATACAAATATTATCAAAATTTAACAGATAATCAAAAAAACATTATCTGATAAAATTTATCAGATTATATTTCCTTTATATTTCTCGCATCCACCGCATCTACCAAATTCATTATTCTCTCCAAACCATATCTGTACAAATTCATTATTTCCTTTATCTTTATTAGTCTATTGAATCCAATTTTAAGTGCTGTCGAATTAAAATGTAAAAAAAATAAAAAATCTTCCTGTCGGATAGAGCAATTCTGACTAGGGGGGTGTTTAATTTAAAAAACTGTTTTAAATTAACAGTTTTTTAAAATAAAAAATCTTCCTGTCGGATAGAGCAATTCTGAATGGGCTGCCATGTGTTCACGCGTATGCGGTTTGTCGGTTTCTAAAAATAACCGTAGACGGCCTCATCCCAGATGTGTATTCGTTAAATGCGTACATCCGGACGTACGCTTCTGATATTATGCCTATTAATAATTACGTCAATGTCATGGCAGAAACACCGCATACACTTCTCCCGCCCACAAACAGCAGATCGGCTGGAGTCGGTAGGCCACAGAGAACTCGATTTGCCAATGAAATGGATTTGCGTGCGACAGGAAGAGGAAATGAGTGATATTGTAATGTATACATTGTTGGTAATTTAGCTACATGCAATTAGTAATGAAATATTTGTTCTCTTTTTTGGGTCTTTTTCATTGTATATGAAGTTTTTGTTCACATAAATTTCATCAGATAAAATGTAATCAAATAAACATAATCTTATTAAATTTTATCAGATAAAATTTAAGTTGTCAAAAATAAGATCAAATTTGATTAGATAAATATAATCAGAAAAATTTTATCACATAAAATTTAATAAGACAATTTCAATAAGATCAAATTTCATCAGATAAATATAATCAGATAAATTTTATCAGATAAAAAGTTGTCGGCAACCTAAAATATTGAATACACTTTATTACTTTTTTTTTTTAAATTCAAGAACATGATTGTCAAACACATAACATAATTACCAAACAATATGAACCCGAGAGTTGGGAATGAAACCGCAAACTAAATATCCGAGATCAAAATCCTAACATAACATTTTAAAACAAAAGTCAAACAAAAATGATATAGTATGGTCACTAGTAACCTTGCAAAAGAAAGTAGCAAGATCTGATCATGGACATGGTTACTAGTCGCCCTTTCTCCTAAAAGAGCAGCCCTCAGTGAGTCTGGCACGTCCACCCGTTGGCTGGCATAGGACTGTCTGGCAGTTCCCACACATAACAACTGTCTGAGAATGGCTGAACACAGTTGTTATGTTAAAGCAACCTTGACACTTCACATCCATAAAGAAAGAGTTTGGGGATGGTACGAGACGCTTGAGCTTGTGCTTTCTTTTCTGATCTTCAAAAGAAAGGTTCAGCAGATCGAGATCGTTTGAGAGACCCATTTTGTGGAAGAAAGCCGGAAAACTTGAAACGCCGGAACGCAGAACAGAGGAGAGTACTCGGCAAGGATGCAGCCAATGTGCGAGAGAATACACTGATTTCACCGCTTAAGAATAGATATGGTCAGATTAGGGGACAAATAATCAAAGATTGAATACACTGAATACACTTTATTACTACCTAACTCACTCGACTAAAGAAACACATTAGTTTGAATCCTAATCCTAGCCGTTCCTTCAACCTACGCGGATCACAATCGGGCGGATCTCTCCCTCCCCTTCTGGTCGGAACTCCCAAATCCGACTAGAGTATTTTTTTTTATTTTCCTCTCGCTTATAAATATAGCTTCTATCAACCTTATATTTTTACACCTCAGTTTTATATATAATCATTACTATATCATTGCTCAATCTATCAAGCTATCCAACCTTTGAGATCAGCCTTTTCAGGTTAGTAAATTTTGAATTGTATGAGTATAGAAGTAGTTAATTTTGTAAGTTGTGAATTTTTAATTTAGATTGTGAAATTGAACTTTTAGAGTAAAATTTAGCTATAAAGTGTTTGAAACTTAGGAAGTGTGCTACATTTAGAAATAGCCTTAAAATTCAATTTAAGGAGTGTACAAGTAGTTAATTTTGTAATTTGTGAATTTTTAATTACATCTTCCATATGGGTGCAAGTATTGTTGGGAGTGTTTCGGAAAATTAAGAAAATTAATTAAAGTAAATTAATTAAATAAAATGACGAAAGAAAACAAGAAAAGAGATGGAGCAGAATTTGTCAAAGCTCGTGCTACGCACGATGTCCTTAAAACGTATTTGTTGCCTCCCACGGTGCTAGGAGCGTTGCAACAATAGTTTCCCAGGATACGATGACAACGAACTAATGTTTGAGCACACAAACAAAAGTTCCAGCGAACGAGAACACAGAATGAACACTCAGGAAATTTTCAGAATGCTAGCAGTGTGTTTTTAGAGCTAAAACGTGTATGAATTCGTGTTAGAACGTGTAAGAACGTGTGTTGTTGCAAACCACCTGCCAGCCATTATATAGGAGGATTTGTGGTATGAAAATGGTGAATTAATGGACCTGAACGTTGGACATCAATGACCAGTCCGTTGGGCATTGAATCGTCCATGAACTGTCCATTTAACGCTGCATTAAAAGATAAGAACGTTGGGCATTTAATTGTTGTAACGTTTCAGAAGTGCGAGAGAAGACCTCCATCAGAACTCCCCGGGAGGGGTTCTGATCGGAGGCCAACTCTGATCCGCGGCCATCAGAGTACCCCCAACTCTGATGGGCGGCCATCAGAGTACCCCCAACTCTGATGGGTGGCCATCAGAATACCAACGAGAGGGGTTCTGCCATCAGAAGACCATCGAGGTGTTCTGATCCGAGCACTTCTGCCGCTGGGAAAAAATTAAACGTTTCGGGAAGAAAACAAAAATTAATCGTATCTCTTGAGAGATAGATTTTTGGACGACATTCGTGTCCGCAGGTCGCCCGCGCACGCAAGTCGCGGTTTTTCTTCTCCGATTTCGGGATTTGATTTGCACCCCCCCCCCCCCCCCCCTGCGCGCGTGGAGAGAGCCTTTACCCTTAGGAATCTTAACTCCATAAGGGGAGAGTCCCTTTATAAAGGGTTGCAAATCCCTTGGGTTTTCCGGTGTGGGAAATTAACACACTAGAAACCCATCCTTTTTCCCAGTTTTTCCATTCTAACGGGTAAACTTCGAAAAGCGATTTCTCATTCACCCGTTATCCGTTTTGAGCGTACCATATATCGAATTGTAGCCCTTAACAAGGACAATCCGAAACCACTTTGACCCGACCCAAATCGGAAGTGGACCCCACTCAAAAAATTGCCCTAAAATAGCCATTTAATGCAATTTTTCACACATTTTTCCAACAAGTATGTTGTCAATTACATCTTAATAATTGAGAATGCTTTACATGACGTTACATTTTTTAACTTCATATCGGTAATCAATAAATGTAGGTGGATCGTCCCCAAGTCATATAAGGGATCCCCAAGACATTGCATACGCTTGTACCGGGATGACCTAGACCGCATGACTGAGAGTCAGGTAGTACATAAAATTTTTACTTCAACCATACTATTCAGCCTTAAAATACACTATTTTTTCTAGTTTTTAAATTGCAAATTAAACTTTTTACAGTTTGATTTCACTCCCTACGCGTCCGAGATGCTCCCGCCTCTCATCCTTAATGATGCTCCGCTTTGGTCGGCTAGAGTCATGCTCATATTTTGCAATATGGCCGAAATGCATTACCCGGATCGATTTCTTCGGCAGTTCGGTATAAGGCAAGACATTCCGAATGCTCCTTTGCCGGGTACTGATCAACACGGATCTCGTTCCAACATAGTGATCGGTGCCTTGGCGATGTGGGCGGACATACAACATAATATATACGTTCTTGATTATGATCGATATATGTCCCTCGAAGCAACTAAAAGGTACCGAAACTGGTACAAGAAGCATGGTATGACACGTGTCCAGAACCCTTCTCACAATGTGCCCACGACAGGCTACACCCCGACAGCACACGATTGGGGTATTGTGGTAAGTTTTTGAATACATACCATATTCGCTACCATATATCGTGTCATATTATTTACACGTGTTACATTTTTATGTAGAAGCAAGGCGTTCACGGGGTGTATCAGCTCTTAGCCGACCGCGCGAGTTATGAGGATTGTCAAAAACGATTACGGCAGATGGCCCTGGATGTAGGTGATGAAGATATGCTCCACCGGGGAATATTCCACTATGAAGATGAAGATGCAGGTGGAAGTGACGAAGAGGATGATTCACATGAACGTGAAGATGGGGGTGAGGATTCACAAGCGCCCCCTCAATTCTCAACACAGGGTGTCTCATTTGATCAACCACCCCCTCAATTCTCAACGCATCAAGGTGGGTCATTTGATCAACCACCGCCGTGTTATGATTCTTATCAGTGGTCCACACAACCGGATGATTATGTTGAGTCATTTCAGAATTCGTCTTTTTACTATGGAGACACAACGGGGCCTTGGAACACTGGCGGTGGGGATGGAGCAGGGCCGAGCACGCAACATTAGATGTAGTATTAAATTTAATTTTGTATGTACCGTCTATTCATTAATAAATTATATTGAAAACTACATTTGTTTTGTTCACTTCCATTAAAATTACAAAAAAAATTCACTTAAAACAAAATGAAATTTTTATCTAATTAGACGAATGGAGTAAATCAAAATTGCACTTAAAATTACAAAAATTGCAATTAAAACAAAATTCACAATACAAATGGATTAAAAAACAATTTAAAGCAATCAATTGTTTTCTTACTAAAAAAATCATAATGCTAAGTTTTCATTTTAAAAAATATGTCATGAATCTAAAAAAAAATTTAAATTTGGAATTGATATAATTTAGCCCTAAGACTTTTATTTTTTTTCGAACTCAAAATCAAAAACAAAATTCGGAAAAAAAAAAATTCCCTAGTCGGAATTGGGTAATCCGACCAGGGGGGAGGAATTTTTTTTTTCTTTTTTCGAAACCCTAACTAATTGGAAATCAAAAACAAAATTCGAAAAAAAAAATCCCTAGTCGGAATTGGGTAATCCGACGAGGGGGGGGGGGAATTTTTTGGCTTTTTTTGAAACCCTAACTTCTAGTCGGAATTGGGAGTTCCGACTCCCTTGTTTTGGTAAACCCTAGATTAATCCCCGTCTTTTGGCAACCCCAACCCCTTTTCCCGTGTTTCGGTAAGAACTCACTACTATTGTTCCGTATAGTCTTTTTTCCCTTTAAATATCAGAGCATGTTTCTGTATTTTACTTTTTGTGCAAAAAAACTTTATCTCATGTAGTCATAATTCATATAAGTGAGATATTTTTGTAAAGGAATTTCGACCCTCTTTAAAACAAGTACGATGAAGGGGGCATACAAAGTGGGAGTGTGGGATTGTGTAAATATAAAAATATTGCATGGTAAGTTTAGGGGCATAGAATTGGCAACATATTAAAGCCAAGTAAATTACAACCCTTGAACTAGAAGTAATACTTCCACTATAAGATTTTAGATTTAATGCTACTAAAAGCCTTTGCCAAATGAGCTGATTCTATATAATCTCTATTCACTGCTAGAAAAATGGTCTATAGTGACACTAAATTAGTGTCACAGAAAGTTTTTCTAACACTAAAAAAGTGTCATAGAAGGTTGGGAATTATGACACTAAATTTAGTGTCACTAGTAAAGTGTCACTAATTTCTGACACTAATGTATCAAAAAAAATTATGATGAAATAATATCACTTTATATTTTTACACGTTAGTATCAATTAAATTTTTGATACATTGGTAATTTGGTATCACATAATGTTGATTATATATAAATGTTTATATATACACACATAAACTATAAGATCATTACTTGAAAAATAGAAATGACGATGTATGAAAAATCAAAAGGCCCTTTATTGAAAATAAAAAGAATTATCATTTACAATTAAAATGTCATACACATTCCAACACAAACTCAACTAAATCTATGTAATAAACTAATTTGAGATCCTCCGATTCCTGTAAGCTCCGCCTATGACTAAATCAGTTGATCTTCAACGTGAGACTAGTACTTCCTACTTGTTGGTGGCTTTTCAATATCTGAAAGAAATAAAATCAAAATATATTATATAGCTACAATGAATAATGTTTATGTGAGAACGTTTAAATGTTGTTGCTAAAAAGTAACCTTTAATGGTAGATGAACTTAAAAAGACCCCCTCCCTTAAGAGCTTACTCCATCACGTGTTGTCCATTTTTTGCTTGTTAGTTCTCATAGTAGAATATTTGATCATACAGGGGTTATATATTTGGCTCCATTTTGAACATGAAAATGCTTGGGAAAAAGGAAAAGTATAAACAAAAAGGACATTATGATATGAACATTCTTCAGAGAAATTGGAGAGACAATATAAAGGAATTAAAAGATGGCATCATCATCTTAGTGAAGTAATTTGATCACATAAATAAGCTAATATGCCTTCAAGTTTCAAACTTGATGAGGAAAGCCTGCTAGAATAAAAACAACATCTCCCAACTTCTGAACAAAAGTCCATGGTTCAATCCCTGTAATATACAATTTATCAAACTATTTTTGTTTAAACCAAGCATTTAGGAAAGTAACTAAGAACTATACAACACAAGCCTAATTGTGTTCTTTGTTTAGCCACTTTTATGGGAAAAACATTCCAAGAATGCCAACCTGTTTCCTACAGTAAGTATTTGGTCACTAAACAATATTGTCCTGAAAATAATAGCAAAATCGAGTAGCATAAGACTCCTCACATTGCAAATTTAATTAGCTCCCAGTGGGGTGGTGAAGTTGTCAATCGGATGAGCAGTGGTTGTGCCGCTTGTAGATGTGAGATTGACGTCTGTAATCATTATGTGAAACATATTAATATTTTATTAATCAAGATCCCCGATAAAAGGCATAGAGAAAATAAGGGTGAATTAGAAATGTACCCTTCTAAGGAGAACAACAAAGAATAACCCGAAAAACTAACAATAAAGAGAAAACCAATGACATCAAATAGAATGTGTTTATTTAAAAAGCATATTCCAACATTTCATACCATTTTTCATGGTTGATGTAGTGCCAATGCTAGCGTGAACCTGTAGGTGTTCAAGAACACGTTATTAAGTAAATACACGGAGTTGAAAGAAAGCCAATTTAAAATTGCACATTTGTACACAACCAGCATTCAATAATAACTGAATTAGTGATTTAGAGTCCCAATTGTACAAGGTTAATGTGCAAAATTTTCTACTGAAAATTTACTTAGTATCAATGTATCATTAGATGATCCTCTATTCTGAATTTTATTAGAACTTGGTTAATGTTCCTGTCATGACAATTTTCCACAGTTTGTTTGAGCTAAAATACAAATGTTTACATTAGAGAAACTTACCAATTTACCATCCAAGTATTTGTGTGAAGAGAATTTTACTCACCTAGGTTTGTAAGCCATACTCTTTAATCCTTATTTTATTGGGATTTATAAATGCTGGTAACAAATTACAATCTAAAAGAAGTAAGATTCAGAAAACAAAAGCCAAGTTAGGTCAAAGAGAGAAAGCACAATAGAGAAATCAGAAGAGTTGAAAACTGAAACATAATATCCACATACCTAATAAGAACATGAAAAGTATTCTCAAATTAAGAGCACAACGTATTATTTTGCCACAGAATGCACTCACCGTTGTACCCATCGGTTTAATCCCCAAAACAGATCTGGAAGTTCAGGATCTGGAGAAAGCCAGCTCCTCAACCCATCTGCAGCTTGCAAGAGGAAGGACATCAGTCAAGAAGGTGATGGTAGGAGTAAACCGATTTCATCGATTACGGAGCTCGTCCCGCACTTCCGACACAGTGCCGACGCTCATTGCTCGCGACTGGTCCCTTCGCCTGATTCGCAGCACCGCTGCTCGTCTTTCGTCGCCAATGGCCAATTGGTGGTCAATCCTTCGCCTGACCAGTCATTGGTCGGGCCTCCACCTCTCTTCCGATGCGGCCTGAAGGATACACCGGTTGAGACTTCCTTGATTTTCGCCATTAATGGCGGCTTGGAGCTCGGGAGAGGTGTATCTCGAAACTCCGCCAATCCCCCATCGAAGGCTAACCTTCTTGGGTGGTCAGTGACGAGTGGCAATGGCGTCCACTTACAGGCAGTCAAGTGATGCCGGCGACGGCATTCTGGCATCCAAGCTAGAGGGTTTGGTGAAGTGAATGAGAGGAGAGGGAAGTTTAGGAGGCAGATGTCTAACATCTAACATCTAACAACAATATAATTATGAATGAGGGTTGGTACCCCTGAATTGTGTCAACACGCTTAAGGCATAAGATGTTGTACATTCTTATTAGAAGATGGAACCCTGTTTTTTTATTGTCTGCTTTACCCTTACTGTCCGTGAGTTATTTAACTTTCGCTATACGGAGTTCCTAAAAAAAACTTCCGTTATAAGGAGTAGTTTTGGCTGTTTATACGTTACAAAACTATTTAGGGGTAAGCCGGGTAACAACTAACAATGTACGAGTATATCTTAATGTTTTACATGGAATGGTTTTGCAACGGAATGACGTATACAAATCCTATAGGGATGGTCATGCCATCTAATCTTTTATTTTTATTTTATTTTATTTCTTCTATTATTCTTTTCCTTTTTTGGATGTGAACTTGTTATTGTATTATTGATTTTTTTCTACTCTTAGGGCTTGTTTGCAACCAATTAAAAAAAGTGATTTTGGCTTTTTTTAAGAAAAAAGCACTTATTTTTTCAAACACTACCAACTTTTACTTCTTCGATTTTCGTGTAGAATCTACTTTTTACTTTTTCTATTACACAAAAAGCACTTATTTTACCAAACACTACCAACTTTTACTACTAATCACTTTTTCCCCAAAAGTGCTTTTATTTAAGCACAAGTGGTTGCAAACAGAGCCTTAGTCCTCCGATTATTATGGGTATGTTTGGCACAACTAGCTAAAAAGATACTTTTACGAGCTTTTTAGTAACTGTTAGCTTTTAGTGACTGAAAAGATCTTAAAAAGAAAAGATGATAGCTGTTTGGTAAAAAGCTGACTGTTTGATTTAGTTCGGTTTGGTATACAAGCTGTTAGGACTAATTTAAACTAAAAGTCACCAGCTTTTCTCAGATGCTACACCTGGTAGCATCTCAAAAAAGATCTTTTAATTTTTGAAAAGCTCTTAAAAAATGTCATGTCAAACATACAACTAGAGTCTTTTAAGGTCTTTTTAAAGAATAGAGAAGCTAGAAGCTAGAGTCTTTTGTGTGCCAAACATAGCCTATGTCATTGACACTTTTAGTACTCGACTATGATTTTTCCATTTTTAATCCTTGACTATTGTGCTAGAGACACTTTTGGTACCCGTTTTTGAAAATTTCCATATTTAGTCTTTCAACTTTTATAAAAGTGACACTTTTGATCCTTCAACTATTATAAAAGGGACATTTTTAGCCCCCCACTTATTGTGGCAAAATCACAATGGGAGGATTAGAAGTGTCAATTTGACAATACTCAGGGACTAAATGTGGGAAACCTTAAAGTCGGGGACTAAAAGTGTCTCTAGTACAATAGTCGAGGACTAATAATGGAAAAACTAGAAGTCGAGTACCAAAAGTGACATCGACATAATAGTTGGG